ACGTTCCTTCCTCAAGTTAGTACCGCTTGTTTCCGTCAGGTTGAATTTCTTTTCATCCGAAAAGACGACCCGAGTAGGAATTATTCAGCTCTATGGTGAGATTTCGATGCAGATCTACCTTTGCCCAATCTCTCCCTAGGTTCATCTTTGCAAATCCGAGTCGAGCCTCTCTGTGACGATCGGTGATCCGTGGCACCTTCTCCATTGCTTGCCTGGTGATGTTCTNGCATCTTCTCACTGCTCTCCAGACTGTAGTTTTCGACACAGAGAGGTTTAATTCCGATCGGATCTGGTTCAAGGAGGACGTACTGTTGGAAACAGTCCTCAGAACCTTCCGCTCGTAACGGGCAGTAATCTTTCATGGGTGTCCACAGTCGGTGTTATATCTAACGACATCAGGGCTCTCCAGAAATCTCCGAATGGACCGAGGGGATCTCTCTATTTGCCTGGAAATGGCTCGAGTACGGAGCCCACCTTCATGATGAGCCTTCTCATCAGAGGAAAGCAGATGACCACGAGCCATGTTGACAGTCAGGTTTAGAAATGCCTTTGATACACATGCTTACCTTTACAAGTATCTTCAAACACGAAATTTCCTCTCTTTCGTTAATAATTGTTCACTTTCTCAGGGTGGCCTTATAATTATGAAACGGTGCAAAAACCGGTAAACTGTTCTAAAAAAGTTCAGAAGAATGCAGCAGCGGCTAAGCGACGGATACCTAGGTTATTCGTGCTGGGGAGTCTGTTCATGATGCTAGAAAAAATCCTTGATGATTACTTTTTTTGAAAGTGCAAAAATTGAGGGTGACCTTATAATTGTGAAACGCACTGTAGTCTTATTATTTTCTACGAATTGAGTGATTTGCACTCTGACAAGTACCGCATAAAAAGTTTGCATGGTCTTACTTCTCGTAGTCGCCCAGTAATACCGATGTTGATGATAACGGAGTCTATCCCTGAACTGGCAAGGGGCGAAGTGATCCATTTGATGATAGTCTTGGGATTTCTGTTTCTGATTCTTCACTGTATCTCAAATGCCTCTCGCGAATCGCGAATCGCGAACGACAGCGCTTCTAGAGCTGCTAACTGCTACTGCTGGTCGATATGATAGACTCGGACAACCTTCCACCCCTTTCATTTCATCCTGTTCCGTGATTCCCAATAAGATGATTTCCTAAACCCATATGTGATTTCGGAGAAGTGCCTGTGACTTTCGGTCTAAAATTTATTTCCTATGCGTTAGTTGTATCGCTACACCGCATTGTCACAAATTAGTTTTAGATCCTACTATGAAAGATATGGTGAAGGAGGTCCATAGGACATAGATGCTGCTCTTGTTATTCATAAGGTAATTCTGAACACCAAGTAAATTTCAAGCGTTTGTAGGGGGTTGCGTAGTAAATGGACCAACTTTGGAACTCACACTTGTTACCGGCATGAAAGGCCACCGACTCGCAGGAGTATTCGCTCAGAAATAAGATGGGAAGTTGAAATACTGCGTCGATAAGTATCAAGCATAGAATCGTGATTCGATATAAACTGAGTCCACCTAGTACCACGTTGATTTTTCAGCTTTTTCGCCACATCTTAATATATAATATATTAAGGTGACCGGAAAGTTTTGAGAAAACTCAGTTGGTTTTTCCATACAAAATAACTACAATACAACAATAAATTCAGATCAGTGATCAAGATAGTGCCCCTTCTCAGCCATAATGTCTCTCCATCAACTGGACTAGATACTGATGCCATTCCTGCAATATGGATAGAGGCTTGACGCAATTCATTCATCTACCACCTACTTGACTTCCGACTGGTGAATTTCTCCCTGTAGAGCAGGCCTAAGGGCTTCTAAAAGTAGTTATAAAGTGGCTGTCATATGGGCTAAGGTCAAATAATGTGTGAGTTTGCAACTTCCTACTCCTAGGGCAGGTGGAGCGATCACCATGTCATTCAGCTCATCCATCGATGTTCTCGGATGGGATGGTCGAGCATTATCCATCACTATCGAAAATTTCCTTGTAATCGGTGTGAAATGGGGGTTCAAAACACCATCTCTCCCAGTCAGTAACAGGATGCATTAGTTTTATAAGATTTTAATAAAACCTGTTGCCAAGATGGTGAATAAATTCTTATCAACTTACCTTTCGGCGTTATCGCCTTCTTCAGAGTTGGAAACCTAAACATATCGCTA